TTAGTATTTCCAAACATATGAAAATGATACATACACAAAGTTTCCCTGTGCAGCACTGTCTGAATTGGTAAAATGTAAATACCCATAAGCAAATCAAAAAGAAGCAACATTTATATTGATATGGATAATTTCTAAGTACCAGAATCACAAACATAGCATACTATCATTTGTGTATTAAAAGGAAATATATATAGGTATATGCTTATACTTATTTACTTATACATGTGAACTATATACTTATTTACTTATACATGTGAACATATGCAAATATATAAAACCTCTACATGTATACACATACATTGCTTGTGTATGTAACACCTCTGAAGGGATACACAGTAAACTGGTACACCATTGGCTGCCTTCAAGGAAGGGAACTCAGTAAGAGGAAGATTTTTTTAATCTTTTGTACCTTATGAATTTTAAGCCATATGAATGTATTATTTATTCAAAATAGTAAAATTTAAAAAGTAATAAATGCTGACAGAAAGAAGAATGTTAGCTAAATCAATTTCTCCAGTTAAAATCCTTGGACAGTTCCCCATTTCCAAATTTCTAACCCTGACATTCAAAGTTTTCCTATATGGCATACTTCTTTTCAACTATGTCAACTATGCTCCACAAAAATATCTTAGCCTCTAGGCAGATTAGACATCTTTCCTTACATTTAACTAAAAAAACTTTTAAGCTACAATAAGCAATGTTTGACATAATAAAATTTGTGTACCAAATACGAAAAATGCCAGAGTACATGAGCAAAAACTATATCCCCTCCAATCTGGAACTTTAAATCTCTTCAGTTGTTTCAGCTATTTGATGGACAAATTTTCCTTAAGGGAAACATTGGTAGAGGAATGTCAATAGATTTCAAGAAGTCCCTATGGTACTGTCTGCAGCTACAATCCATACATACGGTTTCCCAAATATTAAGTAACGTTTGGATGGTGGGAGAGGGACAATTTACCTTCTCGGTGAGTCAAGTCCCTGACTTATTTATTATTCAAAAAAGCAGAAAGCAAAAATGGGATTCCTATTAGACTTTCTTCAAAACATTTGTTTTTCCTCTCTGTAAGCCTATACAGACAACAATTAATGGTTTCCCTAATGGAAACTACCAACGTCTAAATAATTTATATTCATGAAATGGTGTCATGACCACAATTAGATTAGAAAGGAGAGATCAGAGAAAATGTACTTGGAACACAATGTGAATGTATTAAAATGACCTCAAAAAAACTGTGGCCAAGTTCCATAACCCTTACTAAACTCCTAATGCGTGACTCTTACTGGGTAAAAACCTGTTTTCTCACAAAAGAAGCTCCTTACCTTTCACCTAGAACAAAGAGCAATCTTAAATAGATCTGTGGATTTTAATACCAAACAAATCTAAACTAGAAACAAAGGACTACTTCTCTCCATATTTGGCTCCCCTCCATCATCTCTACAATACTGCTGCATCATAAGAAAAGGCTATTATTAGCATATATTGGATATTACTTTTAATCCTTCATAAATACTTCTGATGTTACCATGGCAATAAAAAAATTTCTGCTTCTTGGGAGCAGAGCTTACGTTAGAGAATAAAAATTAGGCCTGTATAAAAAAAGTTATGATGAGGGCGCCTGGGTGGCTCAG